AGGCTCCCAGTCCTAAGCAAGACATGGGTGCTAGGCCTGATCTATTCCAGAGAGGGCGTCTGTACACTGGAAGGGTGTTTGTTTGATCATGAAATCCTTGAAATTTGTCACAGAAGAAATCATGAAAGCATGAAGGAGGACAGGGGCCTGGGCCAGGTAGGTGACTTGTAGCCCAGGTGCTCTGGACTCTTAGAAACAGGTGTCAATTCCAGACCACCTCCCCCACTCTGTTCCCATGTTCCCCTTGTCTGGAGGGAGCAGCATGCTTGTCGGTCTACTTCTTACTGCACATTCTGTTTGACGTGACTGTTTGTGGCGGTGCCCAAGACGTGAGGCTGGTAGCCCTCAGGACTGAGCGACTGGGGCCATCGCCCTGGGAGGACTTCCTGTAGGTGGCGGCCGGATCTCCCCCATCTCCCTGTCTTTGCCTGCAGAGTGTCAGGGTGACGAGGCGACGCTGACACAGGTGGCCTGTCTAGTTGTCAGGTGGGCAGTGTGCCCCCGCCCCTTGATTTTTCCCTTCCTGAAGCAAAATCCCTATTTTAGTATGCTTTGGTGTTCTCTAAGGTCGGGGCAGGCGCACAAGGCTGACAACAGTTAGTCCAACACAGATACTCGTGAAGTGTGTGCTGCTCACCCGCGCAGTGCCGGGCTTTGGGCACGCAGCGAGAGCCAGTTCTTGCCCTGGGGAGGTGGCAGGAATCAACTTGAAACAGGAGACTGTTTCTACGGCTGGACTGGGGCGGGGGACAGGACACGGGACAGGGGACGGGGGACAGGGGACGGGGGACGGGGCTGACTTGGTGGAGGGGAGAGAGGCCCGAGTGGATGGGTGGGACATTTGAGAACGTGTGACCAGAGCACAGAGGCCTGTGTCTGCAGGGCCAGCGGGCATCGGGCCGGGTGGGTCTGGCTTGCCCACCTGGAGAGCTCGGGCTGGTGGGGGCAGCTGCTTCTGGTCTGAGCTGGGCGAGCTCACTTCCCTGCAAAGCGCCAGCCAGCGCATGTTCTAGGCTCTGCTGCCGAACCGCCTCGTGCAGCCCATACCCACTCGGTTTCCATGGCAGCACGGCTGCGGTCTGCTCAGGGAGGGGTTGGCTTCGTTCCAGGAAACTTGACAAGAGCTGCTGGTGAGGCCCAGCTCCAGGGTGGGCGGCAGGGCCGTGCTCAGAAGGCTTCAGAAACCAAGCCTGAGATGTGAGAGGCTCTGATTGGGGGATGTTGAATCAAAACCAATGTTAATGCCGTCGGATCCGGCAGAGCAGGCCTGGGGCCCCAGCCGCCCTCAGCAGCCGCGGGAAGACGTGAGCAGGCCTGCGGAGAAGCAGGGTTTGAGAGCTGGGAGGAGAGGAGGGCTTTCTGATAAGAACAGCAGGAGGTCGGCCTTGCGGCGGAAGGGTCAAGGGTTCGATTCCCGGTCAAGGGCAAGTACCTGGGTTGCAGGTTTGATCCCTGGCCCTGGTCAGGTCATGCGGGAGGCATCGCATCGATGTGTCTCTCTCAACTGACATTTCTCTCTCCCTCCCACTCTATCTGAAAATCAATGGAAAAATATCCTCAGGTGAGGAGTAACAACAACCACCCACAAGGAACAGCATGAGAAGAAAGAGCAGGGGACGAAGGAGCTTGGGGTGGGTGAGCAGCTCAGACCCTGGGGCCACATGTGCCACGATCAGACCCCAGCTCTGCAGTCCACCGCCATGAGCCCACCTGCCACCCCGCATTGTAAGGATTAAATGAGTTATTTGTAAAAGTTCTTAGACCCACCGCAGGCACAGAGGAACCGCCAGGTTGGCTGGATAATAATAAAAGACTCTTAAGATGTCACGTAAACAGCAAGCAAGATGCCTGTACACTGGGGAGAAGTGACGACGATCTCACTGGGACGTTCCTCATCGACATGTGCGCTTTTCTGTTGTCATTTGTAGTACAGACTATGCACTCCACACGGCAGGCATGTCCCTGTAAGTCAGCCCTGTCCCTGAGTGGCCGCTTACCCTGCAGATGTGTCCCTTGGTTCCAAAGGGGACAGCTGGGCTAGAAACAGATATATGAACAGATCTTGACGAGTAAAATTCTAGACGATTTACCAACCTTCGTGTTATTCACTGAACAAAAATTATTCTACAGATGGTTTGTTTCTGGAACACGCATGTCTGTATCTGTGCGCACCCCAGACACGCAGTCGGACTGAGGGGACCCTGGCTAGCACCGTGAACTCACCGCAGCGTGAAGGGAAGGCTCGGGGTCTGATCATCCTGTCGTTTCCGTCACAGCGTTCTCCATCCCCTTAGACGTGTGGGCAGGAGGCTGAGGCTGCAAAGCCCTCTGGGCCCTAGTCCTGCAGCTCCTCTCATGACACCAGCAGACGTGGGGCAGGCAGGGCCTTCCTGCGGACGGAGGTCGGTGGTTCCAGCACCGTCTGCACAGAAGCCCGGCGCCGGATCCAGAGCGCAGAGCAGGACCGAGGGTGGGAACAGGGCACGGCGGCTTTTATTGAAAATTAATGGACTGTATGGTTTCACTTCCATGTGGAGTCTCTAAAACAAAACCAACCAACCAACCAACGCACAGATGCAGAGGACACATGGACGGCTGCCAGAGGGGGAGGGGATAAAAGGTGAAGGGGAGTAAGAGGCACAAACTGCCCGTTATACGTAAGTCCTGGGGAGTGAAGTACAGCACAGGGAATATAGTCAATGATACTGTGATAACTGTGCACGGTGTCTGCCCCAGGCTCTGCTGGTGCTCAGCACCTCCCGTAACCTTGCAGTTTGTTATCTGCTTGCTTTTTGTATTCGTCACTGAGATGTACGCTCAGTACGGCAGGAACCGTGTCTGTCTTATTCACAGTTGAATCAGCATCCATGAGCAAGTGCTTGGCATGAGAGAGGTACTTAACGTTCAAAATGAGCGAACGAATGAACGAAATGCTGGTGGTGACTCCCCGAGGGATCCTGAGACCCTTCAAAGCTGCCTCCCTCTCTGCCTTACCTCCCAGCACATGCTCCATTTGTTCTAGCACATTCCAAGCTCTTATTGTTTTTTGATCGTTCGACTTTTCATGCCTCTATACTTTTATTTTCCCTGCTTGAGATGTTTTTCTCTCATCACCTATTTAGGAAATTTACTTATGAACTAAAAACTTGACTTAATTTATCATCTCGCCGAGGGAGGATGCCCTAGGTGTCCCTTCTCTTCAGGTGGTTTCCCTACACTCGCGAGGTGTGCTGGGATAACGGCCACCTGCCTGTTTCCCCACAGAGTAGGGGGATTCAGGGATCTCTCATCATTCAGGTTCGCGCCCTCAGCCCTCAGCCCGGGGCTATGTGGCAGTTGTTTGAGAAGTACTAGCTGAATGAATGGAAGGCCGGACACAGGAAGGCAGGCAGATGGTGTAACAGACATAACCAACACACCTAGCAACATACCTAATGAGCTGGTGCCTAGGACAAGTTACTCAGACTCTTTAAGCACCTGTGTCCTTATTCGTTAATGGGCAAAAACACAATAGAACCCACCTTCACTCATTTTAACATTGAAGCATGTGTGTTGTATTACTGAGAGTTCTCCAGAGACACAGAACCAGCAGAGTGTGTGTGTGTGTGTGTGTGTGTGTGTGTGTGTAAAGGAATTGGCTCATGTGATTTTGGAGCTTTGAGGCCAAAATCTGATGCAGGAGGCTAGCCAGCTGGATTCAGAAAGAGTCACAGTGTGAGTGCAACGCAGCCTGCCGAGGACGCAGGAAGGGTCGCTGTCACAGAGGAAGTCCGGAGGCCATCTGTGGAAGAAGTCTCTCTTGCTAAGGGGAGGTCAACTTTTTGCTCTATTTAGGCCTTCAACGGATTGGTGAGGCCCACCCTCATTATGAAGGGCAATCTGCTTCACTCCGAGTCTACCAACTTAAATGTAAATCTCATCCAAAACCACTCTCAGAGAAACATCTAGAACAACACTTGGTCAAGTACCTGAGTACTGTGGCCCAGCCAAGCGGACACCTAACATCAACCATCACTTATGGAGAACCTGGAGAACATCTTCATAGGCATGGGAAATGCTCCCTGAGACTCGCTGGCCTGGTCCTGCGTCTCCATCTGTGCCTGCGGGATGGTACTGGGGCCGTGGCCTGCGGCTCTCGCTGGAGGACGGATTTCCCTTCTCCCCGAGTCTCCCCAGCCACCCGCGTCAGGTTCAGCTGCGTTTCCTGCACACAATACGGACCAGAAAGGCTTCTCACGATAAAGCAGGAAGCAGACACAGCAGGAAAACGTGTGCGGGCAGACTGCTGGGACGTCGCCTAACGAGAGCCCTGGTCACACGGGCAGTTCCGAGCAGAGCTGATGCCCGGGCCCCCTTTCTCCGAGGAGGATGCAAAGTCAACAACCGTTTTCCTGTAGTCTCCAGGAAGGGACTTTCTGCCTGGTGGCCCGTGCACTGAAGGGGACTCAGGCGCCTCTGTGCCAGCAGCATGTCCTACAACCCGGGAGGGCCACCAGCCGAGTCCAACCTCTTGTCAGATGGAGAGAGGGGTGACAGACCGAGGACATCCACGGGGCCCCGGCACACCACTTTCTGGGCAACTCAACCTCACTGCTCACCTGTTACCGAGTCCAAAAGGTGAGGTGCCCCGTGTAGACAAAGCGAGTCAGTCACATGAGACCTAATGTCTCAAAGCGGTGATGCTAAGTGACATGGATGTTTCTCACTGTGAAGATGGCACCTTGGACGGCAGGCTGCTGTGTCCACCTGTCTCTGCCCCTGAGGTACTGCGAGGGGCTGGCGTGCCCGTGACACACAGTGGCCGGCAGGACTGACCCCAGCGGGAACGCTGAGCAGAGGGCGTGGAGCAGTGCCGCAGGGACAGGCCACCAGCCTCCCGCCGGCCGCGCGCAGCGGGCGGGGTTTTCCGGGGTTCACCGCCCGCGCCTCGGAACCGAACGCTCGCGCGCGGCTGTGTCTGCAGAGGAGGCAGGAGACGCACGCGGGCGTGAAAACGTTTTACAACATTTATTTGATATTATTCAGCCATACAGATTCTGTGGTAAGCGTTCATTTCTCAACAGTGCATAATCAGACATCTCGTTTCCTAGGCCTGGTGTTTGTCCCAGAACTACGTCAAGATCGACTCCTATGGATTCCTGCGAAATGTGCCACCCATGAGCGATACATGAATTACAGGGTGCTATTTGCTGATTATGAAAATAGAAAAGTGCAAAAATATTGTTTGGCAATCACAGAAAAAAATAGATTTCTTTTTTATTCCAGAACCTCTGAAACTTAGCATAAACACGATGAGTAGCTGAACTGTGCTTGCTCATTTAAGAGATACTGCCAGTGCCGCGTCCCTCCTCTCGCATGGTGACGCGCAGCCGCTGGCACGCAGGCGCGGTGGGCGCCGACCGGGTGCAGGTGGTACCCCTCCGCCAGGGCGGGTCTGTGCGCGAAGAGCGCTTGCCCGGCCCGCACGTGCTCCGACCCGGAGAGAGAAGAACGTGCTGCTGCCCTGGGGGGCGGGGGGGGGGGGGGGGGCTGCTGGGTGAAGAACAGGGGCCTGATGGTTAAAACGCTCTTGCTGGTGGTCTCTGCCACCAAGAGGGGGAGCTCTTTCAGCAAAGGGGCCCCTGCAGAGTATGCCTACCCACTTGGCTTTTTTTTCCAGCTGCGGTAAAAAAAATTGTTCGACTTTTTTCATCTGTGCTTTCTGGAGCTAACTCTGTTTGCTTAGAGACAGTGTTAAAATTAAGTGTAATTTTTAACTATAAAATATTTCATTGGAAACATTTTCTTATGTTTCATCGTACATTTTCCATATAATATGTAATTTGGCTTACGATTAGAAATCGAAGACAGAGCCCAGCACTGGGAAATTTGGAAATTGTTGCATTAATTGCCACAAAAAATTAATATTTTCACCATGAACAGATGGTGAACATCCAGTTAACTGCTACACAGTCATTTCACAACTACCCTCAGAGAAGAATTATTCTACGTATGACCATTGATTGAATGGTCACTGGTAGCAGGCTTTTTCTAAGTTAGAAACTTATTTAGAGATTATATTTTCATCTAGAAATTATATATCTATTTTCATTTTGAAAGAGCTGAACCGAGTGATCACAATGAGAAAGCTAAGTGTATGTGGGTGACTGCAAAGTTTGCAGTAGCTTCAGAAACCACCTTAACACACGGGATTCACGGCCAAGGGCAGGCCTCTCTTGGGCTCGTACGGGGTTGTCCTGGAAACCATTCTGATGCAGTCGATGATGGGGCAGACGCTGAGACACAGAGTACAGCCGGTGCACGCATCCGTCACACTGGGCAGGTGGGTTTCGGGATCAAACTCTATGGCCTGCAAACACAAATGGAGAGCGTTGCTGTCCCTGCCACGCAGGTCACGGGGGAGGGGGTGCCCCCCCCCCCCCCGGAAGCCCAGTGCTGGCATGGCCACAGCTGAGCTAGCAGGCAGGAGGGGAAAGACGGAAAAGAGGTCCTTTCACACCAGGAACAGTGTTAACATTCCTTGGAGGTGTCTTTCTCGTGTGTGGCGGCAGGGCCACTCCATCCTTCGTTTGAACAGGGAGCGGGCCTCATGCAGTCGGCCTGAATGGAGGGTGCCTGCTACCTACGGAAGTGGTGAATACACTGGTTTGGATTTCAAATGGTGTGCACAGATTTTAGAGGAAAGCAACAAAAAAGCTTAGTGGGGGAGCCCTCTCTGAGGCTCCAGGACTCCCGTGGGGTGTGGGCGCCGCCCACCACAGGGGGGAAAGCACTGGGCACGGAGGCCGGCCCGCCTGGCACTGCTTGGCCATGAGAACCCGGGTGAGGCCTCTGGCTGGGAACCGGGTCTTTGAGAAATTTGTGATTTATTCCTCTTCTGTCCCTTCCTTTATTTTTTTTCCTTCATTAATAAGTTTACTTTTAGGCTAGAATTCCAAGGTGGGAGCCGTACCTCCCAAGACCGAAGACATTAACACCCTACGCTGTGATCTCAGTGACCAGACTTGCTGGCGTTTCTCTGGTTCTTTGAATGTGATAGATTAGCAGTTTCAAAACAACTGTTCGAGACCCCCATTCAGGCTGGAAAAAGAAAGGGACACACCGGTCACAAATTTGGTTGAGAAGTAATGTCAAATTAAGGCGGAAGAGATTTTTAAAAATTGTGAATATGCCTGTCACCTCTATTAGGTGGTGAGACTATGCAAATTCCTACCTCCAGCAACATGGGACCTTCTTCCAGGCTGAAGATAAATGAACTTCACTTTTTAAAAATGGGCCATTTCTCTGTCTTGAAAATTCCACTCACTCACTCACTCACTATCTTAAAACCATCATACTTTATTCTTCTTCTTAATAGTTTGAAAGTTGAATGCAAATAATATCAGTCTGCAGTGTGTAGCCTGCAGACAGCTGGATGCCCACCAGTGGTCCCTGTCCCATGGCAGGGTCCCAGCGAAGGGTGGGGGAGCAGAGGAGCACAAGCCCACTCGGTAGTGGGTGGGACAACCCTCTGGGCGATGCATGGCCCGGCCTCTCACTTCCCAGTTACCGAACCACCATGCTTCCTAATGCCCCTAATTGGATGACTTTCTCTTTTTGTTTGGAACTTCCCTTATAGTTTTATGAGTGATGAGATGATATTAAAATAATCCTGTGCATGGCCCTGGCTGGTTTGGCTCAGCAGTTAGAGCATCGGCCCACAGACTGAGGGTCTCGGGTTCGATTCTTTCTAAAGGGCACATACTTGGGTTGCAGTTCGATCCACGGCCCCAGTTGGGGTTGTGCAGGAGGCAACTAATTGATGTGTCTCTCTCACGTCAATGTTTCTCTCTCCCTCTCCCTCCCTTCCACTCTCTCTAAAAGTCAATGGAAAAATATCCTCTTGTGAGGATTAACAACAACAAAAAGAGTCCAGTGCATAGAATAGTGCTACAGTGACTAGAAAGTACAACTCCTTTAAATACAAACACTCCACTGTGAGGCTGAGAGGACACGTCTGGTCTGAATCACAGGTGTAGCGACAGAAGATGCTGTCTGCCACCACAGCCAGAAGGAATACGCTGCCAGCGTCGTGATTTGGGCAGAACTCCTACCTGGTAGCCAGAGTCATTGCAGGTCATGTAGCACTTGCCACAGTTAATACACATTTCTTCATCAATCATGGCCACGACATGCTCCACGGTGCTCAGATCACCGAAGGTCCCCAGGTACTGCAGTGTCTTTCCAATGACATCCTGAAAGACAGGCATGGGTTGCTCATGGCTCACTGTGTAACATGGCCTTGTAATGACACAGCAGCCCACACCCCCCGATTGTATACAATATTGCATTAAGTAACTCAGGAGGCTTTCATTATAGTAGTGCTCACAGGTAGACCTTCCATAATTGTAGCTTAAACATTTCTATCTTCTGGAAGATGGGCAATGGGTGTACCTCGCTTAGAAACACGACCTGTTAGCGGCATTAATCTACTGGATCACCTAAACCGCGTTTCTGTGGCCTGGGGAAGCGACGCCCTCTTTGGTGGTTGTGGCTTACTTTTTCTTAATTTTGGACCTTGAAGGATCCAAAAATAATGGCAAATGACAAAGGTTAATGTACTTCTACTAGAAGCCTTAGATTGTGAGGACTGAGGGGAACAAAACTGTGACTGCTATGCATTTATATCACGGCATTTGGACTCTAGGTTTTCATTTAGCATACCCACCTGTCACGTCTTGAAGACTATATTGCATTATTTAAAAATTCTAATTTATGTTAATCGATTAGGCTTGTCTAATAGTGAAATAAGATGCTCTTTTACTTTCTGAGATCGAGGATTTTCTTCATTCACGGAGGTCTGCAGGCCGTTCCACACTGCTGTGTTCTTCACAGTGATTAAAAGTGTGCTTGATATGTGAAGCACAGCTGTTTCATCAACAGTAAAAAACACTTCCATAAAACAAAACAGGAGAATGCAACAATGTTTGTCAAATTAGCATGCTGTCAAGATTTTCTGCTTTTGTTTCTAACTTTGAACAAGAGGATCTTTTGTTGGAATTCAAGGTCCACATTCAAGAGGTTCTGACTCTCACTGCAAGCCATTTTCCCGTGTTCGCTGTGGCATTTTATTTTCTGTTCCCCTTTCTTTCACTTTCCCCATTTCAGCTCCGTGCAGCAAGCTCAGGGCTTGGCGTTTTCACAGTGAAGCAGAGCGTGCACGACCGCATGCGGTGTATTCGTACATCTCGAGGAGTAAGTGACAGAGCTGACTACTCGTCCTCGCTACTTCCTTTCAGGGAGCTGACGGTACCATCTCAACGGCACTGCAGGCCTGTGGGTGGGCACCGGACTCCCGATCCACATCTCCACTGACAGCAATACCACGAGGACTGTCCCTGCAAACTGCTACCTCGGCTTCATCGTCATCGAATTGAGCGTCAGTCCCGGAAAACGGGGCCTTCTGGCTCCTTGGTGAACACGCCAGGGCTTTCCAGTCACTGACCTGATGTTGCAACTTCTCCTGACTCCACTGTCTCATCTGGTGCCAAGTCTCCAAGGTCTGGCCGTGACGCCTTCCGGACAGTCTTCCCACGTGCGCGGCAGACTGTCCCACGGCAGGTCATTTCCCACGATTCGGGCGCCAGCAGGAGCCCGAGCCCACCCTCAGCTCCCGCCGCGCGCGTCGCCTTACGCCACACTGTCCCTGTCAGACCCGAGAGCAAGACCCGGCGTCTCGCTGCCTCACTCACACGTCCGCTGACTCAGTCTCGTGTTTCAGTCGAGCAGTTAGGGCTTCCCACCAATGTGCACTTTTTGGTCTTATTCTCATCTCCAAACACCGGGTGCATGCTTGTCAATCAACTGCTCTAAAGCCAACTTTCGTGCTCAGTTCCTGTCCAGACTGCCCTTCGTGCCCATCTGCACCTGAGAAGTCCTGCCCGCCCCTCACAGCCAGTGCCCCGCCGCTGCGTCCCCACCTTCTCGCCGCCCCTTCCTCCGCCCTGGGCCTCATCTCTGCAGAGCCCTGTGACCAGGGCAGGAGGCCGCGGTGAAGAGCAAGTCTGAGCTCAAATTCAGGAGAACCCTGCTACTGAGACTCCCGTGGTTGTACTGAGGGGATGGAGCCAGGAAATGAAGTGGTAGGTTGGCAGGGAAAGTGAGAGAAGCAAGTGAACCGAGAGAGAGAATAGAAGCAAGTGAGAATCTGAGAACTGAAGTGGGTAAGGGAGGGTGGGCGGGGGAGCTTATTAGTGAGAGAGACAGATGGGCGAGGACGGGTGTGGCCTACCTTGGTTCAGTGGCCCTGCTCACAGCACTGGGCTGGGCCGGGGCTTGAATGGGTTTAGGCTCACTGAAGGCTACGTGTGGTTTCGCGACATCCCCCCCTAGCTTAGGCTTCAGCTCGCCGATGTGTCTGTCCCATCCATTCTGGTTCTGAGCACATTCTCTATGGGGAGGCTGGGAAAATAATCGTTGAACAGTTCTCTCTAATTGCAAGTTAACACATACCATCTGTTCTAAGTAGTGGGTGTATTTTCTCTCTCTTTTTAACTTTTTATAGACAAAATATATTTCCACTTTACCTAATATTTTCTCCAAATTCATGTAATTTCAGGCTTTGGCACTTAGGACACACCCTTCAATCTTGATGACAGTCTTTGATGATCAGCACTGGTAATTTGTGATCTGTGTTTTCTCATATGACCAGTAAATACTGAGTTATCTAAATGTTTAGTCCTTCTTCATCCTCAGGAAGCTTAGCGGTGACATCATCAAATGTCTAATTGATAGCTTCTCGGTCTTCTTGGTCCATTTTCAGGTGACAGCCGCTGACTACAGGAAGTCAGACTCACGAAAGGTGGGACACTGTACATCTAAACTCACACTTCCTTCCTGAGCCTAAAGGAATGGTCACTGTCCTTCAAGGTCCTGTTAGCTGCCATTTCCCCAAAACAGGTTGTTCTAAGGAGCCAGAAGTGACCGGATGCTGCAGGTCCCCCCCTTGCTCCTCTCCCTTTTGTGTGGGATTGGATTTCCAACAAGGGAACTCAGTACACGTTCAGATGTTTCGCCTGTGGTGGCGTGGGATTCTCATCTGGTCTGTGAAGGCGTCCACCGCTCCTCCGTCTTGCCTGTGTGTGTAACCATCTGGTCCCAGGACTGTGATGTCGTCCCAGGACACATTTCTGTTTTCCTTCCCTTTCTCTCCCCGTCAGGTCTGCGGATCCCACGCACGTTGGGGTCTTTCCTATGCATGCTCCTCCTCCAGCCCTTCGACTAGACAGTGACAGTCACATCTCAGAACATCCTCACAAGACTTGAGAGCTGATTTTTTGCCACATCTGTCCATGTTCTTAAGAGTTCAGCATGATGGTTTTTCATCTGCAGTTGTTGCTATGTAGACAACCGAGGACGCGCCTGTTGCCCCAGCACAGTTCTCTGGCGTCTTCTGAGCACCGCCGGGGAGGGAGGCCCGTGGCTGGCTCCTCCGCCAGCGCCTTCGTGCACCACAGTCTGAGCCGGCTGCCGGTTCTGTCTGTTTCCTGTTCTCACAATTCAGATGAATAACAACCCCGCTGGCCAGGCTGCCGGTCTCCCGCCAACACGGTCTTGCAGTCTTATGAGATGTGGTCCATCTCTCACAGGAGAAGCAGGGGGCATCGATGACATCATCAGTGCCCCTAAACCATTCATTTTCTGCTCAGAAATTCAAAGATATTAGGGGCCCATCCCTGGCTTCATAAAGAGAAAGGGAGTTCAACCCCATGTATATCAGCGGACATGGGACACACCTGGGACCTTCCGTGTCCTGGTGACCTCTCAAGTCTCCGTGAAGCTGCCTGGGGATGAACCTTCTCACTGAGCCCAGCAAGGATGCTCGCTGTCACCTGTCACCTCAGTTCTCAGTGAGGACACCAGCTGCCTCCTCTTTGGTGACAGGTCCATCTGGTAGAAGGAGACCTCTGACCTACTGCAAAGCTGCCTCTCTTTCTTCTTTCACCGTATCTCTCCCACCTTCCGGCACTGGCTGGCACCCTCTTCTTCCACAAATCCTCCCGCTTCCTTCCCGACTCAGTAGCTTCGCCACACGGCAGGTGCCTGGGACGCGCTGCGTCATGCGGAACCCAAATCAGGATGTGCGGTTGGTAAAGGGGACATCACCTGGAGGCCGGGCTGTCCCCTGAGCCCCAGCCACCCTCTGGGGCGGGACTGTGTCCCCGAGGCCACTCTCTAGCATCCCAGGAGGCGAGGCAAAGTGGGTAGGATGTGGACTGGCAACGACGTTGGTTCTCAAGGACCGAGTCACAGCGCACGCAGGGAGCAACCACTCCCGGTGTTCTCGTGAGGTTCTTAGCCTCGGAGTTGGTACATTCCTTTACTTTGTGACATCATGTTGTTAAGAATGATCAAGAAAACCAGATGACTTTCTCATTACTGTTGGTCAAGGCTGTCCTTTCTATGATTTCCTACTGAACAAAGAATGGGCTTAACGTTTGGTGCCACCACCTGGTTGACCCGGGGCATGTGTGTGGGGGGTGTTAAGGTCACACAGCTGCATGTTAGCCCATGTATGTATGATCACGATGCTCTCAAACACAACACACTAACTTACCTGAAATGCTACCTCCCTTTTTTTGCCTTTAGTGAGAGACAGCAAAGGATAGTGTTGAAGGGCCTGGTTCTGGAGACAGACTTCGGAATAAAATCTTGGCGCTGATATTTTCTTAGCTGTGTGATCTTGGGCAAGTTATTTAACCTCTCTGTTTGTCAATTATTTAGTCAGTAAAATAGGGAAAATACAGGAATCTGCTATTGATAGGGTATTGTGAGGACTCACTGAGCTAATTCACAGGCACAGAGAGCCGTGCCTGAAGCCTAAGGACTCAATAAATATTAGCTTTTATTATTAATTCTGTGTAATTAACACTAATTTATTAAACTCCATGTTAAATATCACATCTCTGTGAAGCTTTCCACAATTAACTGAGGCAGAACTAATCCCTTTCACTCCCCTGTGTTCCTAGAGCCTTTGTACATTTGATTGGACTGTAAATAGTTTTAACATGTGTCTTCCTCCCTTGTTAGATCACAAGCTCCATAAGAATAGATCTCTTTCTTTTTAAAATTCATGTTGCTTCTTAGTTTCCAGTGCAATTCCTGGACCTCAGCAAGCAAATGATAAATACAAGTCGGTGCCAGGTCTCTGCACAGACTGGGAAACCCCTGAGCCCCGGACCACGCCCGGATGTCTCTGCACTCAAACCTGCTCCTGAGACCATTGCTGGCCACACAGCAAATGCTCAGTAAATACTGACTTATTGATGACATTGAAATGGCTACTTCTCAGGCCACAGACCACTAAATCTTATCTGAAGCATCTGAAAGGAAAAGTGGGGAAAAAAGGAGAGATCTATTGAGCATGGCTTGCCTAGAAATCACACTGTCACGCTCGTCACCAGGGAAGATGGGATTAGAAACCAGGATGCGTGGCTGAAAGACCTGCTTAGACAAGAGGGGCTGAGCGAGCTGGGTGGGGCTCCGGGGCTCTTCTCGCGGCGCTGGGGAGCCACGCCCTGTGCCAGCCGTGGGAAGGCCAGCACAGCGCTGTGGAGTGTGAACAGCTGCACAGGGGGTCCACAAGGAGGCCACAGGAGCCGCGAGGAGACACGCTCAGATAGGCAGGTGCGTGCAGAGACAAGAAGCATGGAGACAGATCACCCGGGCATCCAGGACGATCCAGGAGGGGGGGATACATTTTAACAGCAAATAAACTTAAACTACATTGTATATTTAAACAGTAAAGCAGACATGCTGTTATATGGCTTCATTTTTACCTTAACAGTGGGAATAGGCTTTTGAGGGATAAAAAGGCATCTCTTGGGGGGCAGAAAAGCTGCATTTTCTCCTTTCAGTTTAATCTTGTTCTCGGCTATGATTTTCTTGCGTTGCTCAAGGTAAGGCCCAAAACTTGGCAGTTTCTATAAGGAAAACACACAAATAAGAAAGCACGTTAGCTCATCAAAGAGAAAAACGTGAGGATGTACACACAGATATTATCAACACGCAAATGTGTGTTTGTGATATGGCCTCATGTAAACAAGGTCTTCATTCCCGGACCATAGGCTTCTAGGTGCCGGATTCTCTTATCTAGGTACCAGATTCTGTTAATTATGAAAAAGAATACAAGGGAACTATATTCTTGCCAATTATGTATGTCTTAGATATAGAAATGTTCATGAAAATACATTTCTAAATGAAGAGTTTGCAATGGTGAACAAAACCCATCCACTTAAAGCAGGAGGTGTTAGTTAGACCAGGTGTTTGGTTTGCACAGACAGAGGTGGCATCTGTCCATGCTCCAGTCTCTCTCCATCATGTGAACACGGCCATAATCCCTGACAAATGCTCCCATCAATACCAAAGGTACTTTGCCGAAGTTCTAATCTGTATCTCTATTTCATTGGTTCAGATTCTTAGGGCATCTTGTTAAAGATGGTAAAGAATGTTGATTGCAATTTGCTGCAATAGCTGGAAACAAAGTGATAAAAATATTGATTTCTCTGTACAGAAAATACACGTTATTTTGCATGAAGGAGACCAAAATAGAAGTGAAAAAGCAGAGGCAATATCTGAGTGGTGAAAGCAACTCTATCAGCATTCAAAATCACACCAAAGAGCTTTAAATCTCAAGGTTATTCCATTGTACTTTACAAAGTTCATTTAGAAAGAAACCTGGGTGTCATGGAAAAACGTAAGGGGTTTCAAGTTAACAAGAAAATGCCCTCATGCTGTTCATTATGGCACGGTAATTTCCTCTTCACTTTGTCCTTTCTCTTCTAGAACATCCTTTCTCCCACATATGCTGGTGGTAAGACACCTCTGAATGCCAAATGTTCCCCGCTGCCCGGTGCCTGGAGTGGCTAGCTCGCTTTTTCAAGAGCGCAAAAACACCCTTTCTCTTTGGCTCTTGCAGAATAAATCCAATTTATCTAGCTCAGCAATTTTTAACCAGTGTGCTGCAAGAACTTTTAAAATATGTGATACCTATTAGTAACTTAGATGGCTGAATAAGAAATGACAACAGCCAACACAACACTAGTCAGCCGGTGTGAATGTCTTGCCTCGAACCATAAACATGTAGGTCATGGAACAGAGTTGAATAATAAGGCTACATCTGATTGGTTAATTCTCAGTCCCTAATTTTTAAAAAAGTCACTTTGAAGCAAAAAGGGTAGGTAATTGCTATTATTATTTTTTGTAAATCAATCCAAATTATATTTTTTTGACAGATGGGCAAAAAGTATATTTTTTGGTGTGCTGAAGAATTTTAGTAACTGTGTGTGCCATGAGGTGAAGGCTGGAACTCTCTGAGCTAGCTGAGGGAGGCCCGGAAGACGACAGCACTGTGAGGTCCCGTGATCTGCGACCCGGCCAGCGCACTGCTGAGGAGTCGCCTTGTCTCGACACCCTGGCCCACTGCCGGTGGCGTAGGCAGGCCCAGGGAACGTGCCCCCTGGCCCTCCAGGGACGAGAACCCGCCCTTCGGGCCCCAGCTTGGCCACCCTGCGCTGGACGTCACATGCGCAGAACATGTTTCCGTGCTGATATCGAAGACGGTTCCTCCATTAGCAACTTACTGTAATTATGTCAACAAGTCAAACAAATAAAAATGTTATGAATGCCAAATTAATTTATATACAATTAAACTCGAACTGTCTACTTTATTGCTACACCTTCATGCTTTCCCAAATTACAGTATTTAACAATTGCAGTACAAAATGAGAGGGAGGGAGACAATATATTCTGTCCATTTTACCATAGAAGTGATGCTGTCTTTTGAAAAAGCATAAAATAAGTAGGAACATAAAACAAACGCTCACTACTCATCACCTGTAGCCTCTCTAAAGTAAAAAGGATAATGCGCGTTTGAAATGCCCACTTAGGAAGTGACCTCTGGCGAGGAGGTGGAGACTACACTTGGGGTCAAAGGAACACCCCTGGGGCCCCACAACATCTAAGGGTGGTGAGCGCATCTCTACGTGATGTCCATCTTGTCGGGATGTCACTCTCTCCACACCTCTCTCTCACATCATGGGCACCTTACTTTCAATCTTACATCCTTGAAGGTTATCAAGGAGTTAGGTGTGGAAACACGTGACCTCTGGGCCTAGCAGACCCCTCCTGGTGGCGAGCTCCGTGCGACCTGAGCCATTCTCCCGGCTCCCTGACTGGCTGTCACCTCACTCGGCACCTCAGTCCCACAGGTAGATATATAGGAAATCATTCTTGGACCTCAGTGATTCGTCTTCTTTCAAACATGGGCCAGAGGAGACGTTCCCCCATCTTGATTATTCTTTATCCAAAGGGAGAGAAATGAAGTAGTTAAATTGAAACCATGACAATGTCATTGTTCCAATGATGGGAATAGTAATATTAATAGCAATAATAATAAGATTTGAAAATCCCTTGGTGCTGAATAGAATGCAGCCTCAGTACACACCTGCCAGCTGCTCTGTCCTGTGATTTTTGCAGCGGCCAGCCTCATCTGCTGTACCTAAATTACGCAGCCTCTTCACGGCCGGCGTGCTATGGTTCCAAAATATGCTAATTTCTTATAATTAGTCCTAAGGACAGGTTCTCGATTCAATGTAGACTCCTGTAGGATTTGCTTTTGTGTGTTGGCTATGGAAAAGAAGAAAACATGTTGCCAAGTTTTCCTTTACATTGAAAGCACCCACACAGCGTCAGTGAGCCCCTCCCCCTCCCCCCCCATCTCCATGGGCGGGTCTATTTGCGTGTAGTTCTCTTAGCTGGACAAGGGGTCCAGAGGCAAGGTAGCTTCTAAGGTTGCCACGGGCATTGTTTTCCGCATTAGTATAAGGAAGTTAAATGCTTTTAAAAAATCACATTGTAGGTATTAAAATGCCTCCAGGATATTTGAGTACTGAACATGTTTTAATCCTCACCCGAGGATATTTTTCCATTGATTTTCAGATAGAGTGGGAGAAATGGACAGAGAGAGACGGAGGGAGAAGCAGGGAAAGAGAGAGGGAGAGAAACATCCATGTGAGAGAGACACATCGATTGGTTGCCTCCCTCATGACCCTGACCAGGGCTTGGGATCAAACTGCACCCCAGGTATGTGCCTTTGACCAGAATTGAATCTGCAATTCTTTGGTCCGAGGGCTGATGCTCTAATAGCTGAGCCACAGTGGCCAGGGTAGTACTGAACATTTTTAAAAGTTACATTTCACAAAAATATAAAAGATCAATTCCCCCTGCACCAAAGGGTCACCTGTCTACCTACTACCTTTAGGCATGTGTTTGTGTTCTGATCTTGCCAAAGAAACAAACCGAAGCAAAGGAAAAAAACAACAACAACTAAGCGTGAGCAAAGGCAAATGCGGCGCTGGTTGCTGTGCGTGTGTGCATCGGTGATGACCAATAAAGCGCCGAGATCACATCACTGTCTGAACACAGAGCGAATTGATTTCCGATCGCAGAGGAGGCCGGCCGACAGCAGCGGCAGCAGGGGCTCGTCCCCTTCATTCATTATTTCCGACAGAAAACGTTGTAGCCTGCAGTAGCTCAGGGCGAGAGGTTTGCAGCGCCACGCTATATATTCGAAACAAAGAAAAAAGTCCTTTAGAACCATCAAAAGCTGCTTTGTAACTGATGAACTGAACAGAGATCAGAAATGGTGTGATTTTTGTTTCAATAGTTTCTCCAGGGATTTATCACTGATGAATTTGTTCTTACCAGAAGAGCTAAATCCTACTCATTTAGAGATAACAGTATCTCATGCTAAAACGGTCTCTGTCCAGATATAAAGAGCATTACATCGCCGATAGAAAAGTGACAACATAATGAATCAACAATGATACCTTAAGCCAGCAAAGCTTTAAGGTAAAGAAGTCTATTTGGATTATAATTTATTCATGGATCAATCCAAAGGTAATTGAGCACATTATGAAGTAGAAAAGCGTTTTTGTTCCTAATAGAAGCACGAACTGGTATCTTCCAGTTTAAATTGCATAATTTCTATGAGTGGCAGCGAGTTGGCTAACCACACGGATCTATGGTACTGAAACGGACCCGCTCTATTTCCCAACCATCCTCCCTTATCTGACAGTGACAATGAAGCGGGAAAAGGAATTACTTTGGTATCCAAATGGTACCAGTTTAAAAGATAAAGGATTTCAGATTTATACTGAGTGCAATGTGTATAATTGCATATATATACATATACACCGAGTGCAATATATATTGAACTCATTGTAATCTGAACACCATGGATAGGGATATGGTGTGTGTGTGTGTGCGTGCGCATATACCGACAGGCTGCAAATAGATGTAGAGAATGTTTCCAACTAAGAAATGACTCCCCCTCAAAAGAACTTGTTCACATATGATTTAATTACATTATTTATCTTTTGCCATTTATTCAAAAAATACAATATCAAATGCCTACTATGGGCCAGGAACTGTCCTGTGTTCCATTAAAGGTTAAATAATATCCTCACGTTATATGTATAATGATCATTGTTATTAATTTTTAAGTGTCTCTCATCATTCATTAAGTGCTAGTATTAGAGTGAGTTATATCTCAAGCATACCTGATTTTTGCACTTATCTAAAGGCATAATATACATTTATTTTTGGAAAACTGATTTCAATGTAATGACTAACAATTGGAGACAAAAATGAACAGAATACACCTTCAAAGGATTGATCTTCAACAAACTCAAGTTGGCATTGGCATACCTCTTGGTTATCTCAAATATAATGAGTGTACAGGACTGGGAACTTGGGTCCCCAAGTCTGCTCCAACACCCCGATTCCACTCAGGGTGTCTGTGTCAGCTGCCAGTTTGGGGCCAGATGGCCAGTCTGTTCTGTCTGTCTGAATTCAGTCACCTGTCTTCTTCCCATCCCTCAACTGTGAGAGCAATCGGCTGCTTATGAGACCCTGAATTTTA